TCATAAGGACTTGATAAATATCTTTTCTCCCTTTCTTAATATATAGCTTGTTTAGAACTTTGTTTCTGAATTATGTCTCCTATAAACAACGTATTGAGGAGTTGGGGTTTTTAATCAGTTTTGTTCCTCTGTCTTTTGACTAATGCATTTCCTCTGTTATCATTCAGTGTGCTTGATAAGCACAGCAGTTACGTGAGTTGACTGCTGTCGTTTTGTTGTGCGGGGGAGATGCTGATGTTTTCTTTGTTCCATCTCCTTTCCCTGTAGTCTTTTTGTTCATCGATATTAAAATGTTTTGGTTCATTTTGTGGTTGATTTTTGTGCTGAATCTTTAGGGGTTTTTTGTTTGTTTGTTTTGGTTGGTTTTGGTTTTGGGTTGGTTGTTTTTTCTTTTCATTTTGGTGAGTAGGTTTATTTATTTTCTGTGTCACCAGAGATTGTAAGCTTGTGTCTTGTGTCTGTGACACCATGTGGCTCTGGGTGCAAGGCAGGCAGACAGAGGCAGGCACCAGTACACTCTGCTAATCTCCTGCAGCAGTGGGCAGATGACTTGAAATCCACAGGAGCATCCACCACCAGTTGCCAGGAAGTGGTGGGCATGAGTCTGGTCTGCAAAGCACAGAGGTAATGAGTACGTGGTGTGCAGTCTGTGGAAGGTTGCATTGCTAAGCCCTAGGGAACAAAGTGGTGTAGCGAAGGTGTTACCCACATGTACCCACTGTGGCACAAGGACGTGCACCAAAGACCACTTGGTATGTGGGGGTGCAGGTGGAGGGGTACAAGCAGGTCAGATGTGGGTGAGGAGTGCGGGCTGACAGCATGCTCTACTGGTCATTGATGTCTGGTTTTATTTCATTGTTGTTGAGTCAAAACAGACCCACAGCTGACTCTTCAGCAGGTTTTCAGAGGCTGTAAATCCCAAGGAAGGAGATTGTTCATCTTTCCACTACAGGGCAGCTGGTAGATTTGAATCTCCTACCTTTGTGTTTGCAGCACAGCTCCTTAACCAGTAGGCCATCAGAGCTTTCTACTGAACTCGGTAATGGGCAGCAGTGCTCTCCTTGGCACGTCTAGCTGGCGATCAGCTTCCTGGCTTGGCCTAATTTGAGGGAGGTGGGATTATTCAGAGCTGAGCACCCTCACAGCCTTGACTTCTCTCCCAGCATCGTTACAGTCCTTCTTTACGTCTGACTCACGTTCTTCTCACTTGGCTTCACCCAGGCGTGTATCTGCACTGTGTCTCTGCCCCATTGAGGGTAGTGTGAAGTTGTCTTCATGTGCTTCTCATCAGGAGCAGGATGTGCGTCAGGATGGCCACGCTCTGCTAATGTGTGCACATCCGTTCTGTATCTCCCCTTGTTCTCTGTTTTCCTTCAGTTTCTTCTTCCAGTCAATGCTGGATCTAATTACTCACCCTTCCTATCATGCTCACATTTCAGGATTATAACCTGTAGCAGTTTTATTTGTGTTTTCAAGTCTTTGTTGTGGAGGGACAGCCTCGTGCATTTAATTAGATTGGTGGCAAGAAGGTGCACTGCAATCCTGAAGGCACGCAGTTTGAGGCCACCAGCTGCTTCATGGAAAAAAGACGGACAGTCTCCTCCCGTGTGATTGCTTCCCATTGAAATCCTGCCAGAGGGCCAGCAATGAGTCGGATCAGACTCTACACTACAACATTTTAATCTAGACTCCAGAATGGTGTTTTGAGGGCTTAATATTTGAGTTCTGTGTGGGTCAATTTACTGTACATTAAAGTTCATCCTCCATGACTTGGTTATACGTATTTCATAAATATTTTTATTGTGTAATAATCGTGTTCTCTCAAGGGACCTTGTCACAAAACTTTGACAAGTAAACTTCCTCTCAGTATACCACTAGGATTCTGATTTTTCTTATGATCTGTACACTAGTGTTTTCTTAAATATTTTAGATTGTTTAAAAAAATGTGGAACTTTTCCACTTTGTGTTTAGAAAAGAGATGTGATTAACCTAAAATCAATGATGTTGAACTTGGAATTAATACAGTCAGTTGACATTTTAAATTATAAACATACCTCGAGTCTCACTCCAGCCCCCTCATACATACAGGACCCAAATGACCCAACTATGGTTATGAATCTGTGGACCTCCATCAGTGGGTCTCATAAATCTGTTTGGTCCCTCGTCTACCATCACCACCAGTTGGGAACTTGTACTAAAAAATCTAGCCCCACCGCAGATGGACAGAACTGAATACTGTAGGCAGGGCGGCAGCAGTCCATGTTTTAACAAGCCCTCAAGGTGATGTCCCTGCCCACTAAAGAGTGAGAATCACTGCCTGGAGATCATCCCTCAGGTCTTGTGGCTGCATCCCACACACACTTGCCCTGACTGCCAGAAGCTTCTGGAACATTGCCACCCTCTCACTATGTAGCATTTTACCCTTCTCTGGCCAGCTCAATTGGTTGAAACTTTCTGTTTCAATATTCTCGTTGAATAAATGTGACTCCTACTTTAAGCCTCCTCAGAGGCTTTGTGGAAGCATTGGGGGTTAGTCTTTTTTTTTTTTTTTAAACATAAATTTTATTATATTGTTCTCAGCATGGGGGTTAGTCTTAACTGTTGCATGGAAAGTAGGAATGTTGCTTGCTACTTGTCCTTTTCCCGATGGAGAGCAACCCTGGCATCATTATTTATGTATGGTTAAGAAGCTGGACGCCTGTCCCTAGGTTGGGTTTGGCGGTCACATGATGCTTGTGACAGATGGTCACGTTGACCATGAAATAGATGGCCACCATACTCTCTTCTTATCCTGGGTAATGTCACTCTCTGAGAGTGCGTGGGCAGAACAGCCCATTTTAAGTCCAGCTCTAGTCAAGCAGGACGGGAAATTAGCACTTTGTGGTTGCAGAGACATCTCTTTTGGTTCCCAAATGGTTTCCAGAGCTATCAAAATAATACCATTTGCAGGCACTTTTCATGGCTGAAAAGAGCAACTTGGAGAGGAAAAGGAGTCCTCTGCGGCCCCAGGGAGAAATGTTTTGCAGCTGGACACCACGCGTGCCTGCTCACTGAGTGTACATTCAGCGGTCGGTGCAGCTCCGCGCCGGGACTCACGGTGCAGGAGCCGCCCCACCCAAATGAAGAGCCCCCCACGCGGGCGCTGCTGCTTGTCAACCAGCTCTTCTTTGTGAGAGCCAGGCGGGGATGTGTAGGACATTGTACTGCAAATCTCAAGCAAACCACGCAGTGGCCCAGGTTTGTGGGCTGCCTGCTGCTCATAAGGGATTCCTCCCCCCTGGTCTGGCTCTTTTCCTGCAGCACAAGCCATAGATTGTTGACACCTGTTTTCCCCTCCAGCCCGGGGAGGTGGAGTGTGCCTTAGGAATGCCTCCAAATGCTTCCCTGTGTCCTCCTCTGTGGAGCTTGGCGCTGCTGGGGTGGGGGAAGGAAGGGAGGGTGCTTTAGTAAGAACTGCAAACGGCTTCCTCATTTAGGACTAATGATCGTGCCCTACTTGTGGTACTGAAAAACTTGGTCTCCCCCATTCAGCAGAGTAGAAAGATGGTGCGTTTTATACAATAGAGGACTGCAGTGATTTTATTTTAATTTGATTTGTATTGTTGAACAGCTGCACGGCAGAACACACACCAGTTAAGTAACTTTCACAAACAATGCAGCAACGTAGATTTGCCTTCTTGGAGTTGTGCAGTCATTTCACCTTTCTTTTCCAAATCATTCCTCCCTCATTGGCATCGCCCCTTACCGTCCCTTAAGCTCCCTGTCTAACCCTTTGAGTAGCTCTTTATCCACCTGATCCTATGCAGATAAACCTTGAAGGAACACCATGCTCAGGGCAGAAGCCAGCAGCAGGAGCATGTAGCTGAGATAAGAACACAGGAAATGAGATGGAGAGTGGAGACTCTCTAAGCATTTGTTATTTTAGAGTAACATTTGGCCTTCAGAATACAACGTTGAGTGAGTTGGTGGTGTGACCAATTTCTTTGCAAACTTCTGGCTGTGTGTCTGCGCTGCCCATGTTTCCCTGAAATTAAATACCTCATAAAAGCTGTAGCAAACAGTAGAACAGTCTGGTTTGCTGCCTTCAGTCCCAGATAATGAGTACCTGCTGCATGCACTGTATTATGCTAAGTACCAGGAGATAAAGAGAAGTACAGGACAGGTTCCTGGCTTCTCAAGAGCTGCCAGGTTGTTGTCTTATCTGGAGAGAAAAAGAAAATGCACACTTGAGAACAGCTTAAGGCTTCAGAATCTTCTGATAAGCAAATAGGTGATCCACACAGTGCATTGTCAGTGGGCTTGGAGAAGGGGAAGAGAGTTGTGAGTTGAGTGGGTCAAGGAGGATATAGAACCTATTTTAAGTGCTAAGGAGTATTCATGGTTAGTGTAGGTGAGTGTAAACCCCTTTCCTTACCATCATTAATAGGCTGTAGAATTGATAGGTTCATCGTTGTTGTTTTTCACAGTCCCAACGTTTTCCCCTAACTCCTTTGTGGAGCTTGGCCAGCACTCCTATGAACATTAGCCTGCGTTTGTGCACCGTGGGTGAAAAGGGTTAGAGTTGGGTCATGGCTTTGGACCAGAGTAAAATTAACTGGCTCATAATGCGACTGAACTAATGACCTCGGCCTCATTACTACTGTGTTTTAACCAGTTGAGTCAATCAGACATTGCAGAAAAGGGTAATCAAGGTATCATTCAGAAGGAGGACTGCATAGCTGTAAACACAGGCGGGAAATCAAAGCCAGTTCATTCCTGCATGTAATATGAAGGTGTTTATCTCCAATCCTTGGGTTTATAATTTATCTCTTAATCCTTGAATCTATATACCTGTTTCTGAATCTCATAAAAATAAAGTGGGCAGAAAATAAAAGCCATCATGACTTCCTCCTGTTAGTAACTTTTGATGTAATGAAACGTGCAGCATTTTCTTGTTTCCACTTTTAAATGTGTAACGTCCTATAAATTTGTTAACAATACCTTTCTGTTCTTCTTTAAAGTCTGAACAGCCCAGTCCTGCCAGTTCCAGTTCCAGCTCCAGCTCCAGCTTCACACCGTCTCAGACCAGGCAGCAAGGTACCAAGGGCTCCTAGGCAAACTATGGGGACACTGTTCTCATAAGACGTCTTAATGAGTTCATTAATAACCCATCTTCTATGGCTTTATTATTTGAGTGATAACTTGGCCTTTATGCAGTTGTGTTTATTTCCCCAGGAATGTACTTGAGAATTGTTCTCATGTATGAGGCCAGTCTCTGCCATCAGATGCCGTTTTACAAAAGGATTCTAGGCACAGGCAGTTGCAGAAAGTTCCCAAAGGAAACACAGTAGCAAGAACTGCACTTGGCTCAGACTTGGGAAGATTTTCACTCTCCCATCCGGAAACCTGCATTTCATTTCCCCCCCTACAAATTAATAGACCTTTTCCTTTAACAAGTATGAATTTAGTGGGTTTTAAAAAGCTTTTTCTTATATTCATAAGCAAGTGCCATGTGAACTTAGAATGGAGAAATTGAACCTACAGCAAGTATTATTGTTTCCACTTTTTTTGGTGGGAAAGTCTTCAAATGGCAGTGCTATGTGGCTTTATTTGTTTGTTTTTAACGCAAAAGATGAATTCCTAGCAAGAATAGCTTGTTTTTAAGCATCATACTAACCATCTCATCATAGTAATGGTCATGAACCATATTGAATTTCTGATGGTCTTGGATCTTTTGAAAGGACTGTTGTCTTTGTGTTGGGTTAGAGTTAATCTTCCAGGAAAGACAGTGTGAAATAAAGGAAGTGTTCACATGGCTATTCCAAGGTCTTACTCCTCTGATGCAATCCAAAGATACAATCCCACTACAGAGACAGAGAAATTTAAGTCTTGCAGAATTTGAGGGTTTTTTTTTTGGGGGGGGGGTAAAGTTTTTTTAAAATTAGCTGGGGATAAACTCATACTCTTATCCTCTACAAGAGCGTGAAGACTGCCTCATCTACACTGAAGAGGCCTCTTTCTTGATTGTCTTTAGTCTCTTCGGCTAAATTGCAAAATGTTCATTTTGTTTCCCTTACATTTATATCAGGTAAATGAAAATAAGGTTCCTGAGATTTTTCTCTTTTCAATTCTGTACACACGTGCGTGCATGCACACACATGCTCACATGCACATGCACAAATTAGTAATGGCTTTGATTTTCTGCTCCCCTCCAATATTGGATTCTCTCTTGAATTTTCTGGGCACCTGATTTATTACATGGGTCTTATCTATGTAAATTCATGCTGGCATTTTGTCAGGAATTTCTTAAAAGTAAAAATGGAAATTGGCTGTATAAAACTGTCGCAAGGAGACCTTGGGCCCAAGATCAATATGAAGATCAGAGATAGGACATTACACCGTGGAATTGAAATGCTTTATAATCTGAACTTGACTGAAATGCTTGCTTGACCTGAAATTGACCTTGAAATAAAAGGAACCGCTAAACCTTAATAGATCAAAAACTACCACACAAAGACTGTATTGCCAAGGGCAAGTTGCAACCACAATGATTTATTAGTCTCAACTTCTCAATATGTGGATTAAACATGTTTATCAAAACATTCAATTTACTAATAGGTTTTTCTGTTTATTAGTATCATTTTGGCTATGTAAGAAAAATACAAAGGGAAAAAAATCCTAGCAAGTAGAGATTCTTTAATAAACATTTTGAAGCATCTCTCAGTAAAACAGCATTTTGAGAGAAATTACATTCCAGAAACATGACCACATTTGTTTAGAAAATGTATAAACTGGGACTTAGTGGCAAAAAACTGCCCTGCCAACCCAAAGGCACACTCTTCAAATCTGCCAGTTGCTCTGTGGGAAGAAGATGAGCAGTTTTCTCCTGTGTGATTATACCACCCCTGAAAACTCACCAGAGGGGCAGCTTTCAGTTAGTTCCAGCTCAGTAGTACATACATAACAACAACAACATATGTGATCGTGATTATTATTAGCCTATGTTCAGGGGCAAGGTTGCTGGTAGGCATTTCGCCGGAACTGGTATGTATCTGCCTGTGGTTCACTGTCCTTGCTCAGGTCCTTTGAGGTCTATAATGAAAGATCTACATTCTGATGACAATGAGGAGGAATCTGACGAGGCGGAGGATAATGACAATGACTCTGAAATGGACAGACCTGTTAATAGAGGAGGAAGTCGAAGTCGCAGGTGAGTGCCCTTGGAAGAGGTTCCCGGTCACAGAATTGAGTTTTCTGTTCCCCTAGATCTTATTGCAGTGCGATTGGCACAGGATAGAGCAGGGTTTAGGGCTGTTGTGCATAGGGTCGCTATGAGTCGCAAACAACACATAGCAACAACAACTAGATCTTATTAGTGTAATCAAGGAACACTGGTAACATGGTGTGCTATTATTCTGTTGCTAACTTAAAAGCCGGTGGTTCAAATCTACTTTCATGGAGAAAGATGCATAGACAGCATCAGTAAAGGCATTGCGGACCCTATGGTGGGTCAGTATGAGCCAGAACCGAGGCAGCAGCGGCGGACGTTTTGTTTGGATTTGATTTTCGTCCTAGCATAAGAAGAAGCTTTTGTTACAGTGCTGGACTGCTACCCTCTAAGTGGGTGGTTCAAAACCACCAGCTGCTCCAAGGAAGGAAGCTGGAGCGATCTGTCCTCTTAAAGATGTCTCTCTGCTGCCAGGTCAGTTCCAGCTCCCAGTGACCCTCCCTCCGTCAGCTTTTGAGGGTGTGGATCCTGAAGGAGACTGGGTGGCGCGCGCTGCTAAAGACGTCAAGCCGTGGAGGTCGTGTGGGATAGTTGTGCTCTGTACTTTAGGGCTGCAAGGAGTCAGATTTGATTTGACTGGCAGTGATTACTCAAAGTCACAATGAAGACCTAAAATACTGAAAACAGTGTCACTTAATATGGCCAAATTCAACTGAAGCATGTTTATATCCATCACTATGTCTCCATCATTCATTTTCTCAGGAAGGGCAGAATTTATAAGGGAATTTTACAGGAAGAAGCCATATTAGAAGCCCTTGTTCTTAAGAGAACATGCCAGGTGGCCTGACTGCTGAAATGAAGGTCTGTTTTTATTTGTAGTTTGTGTGGGTCCGTTGCTGGAGGTACTCTTAGAAGCTGAAGAAACGTGTTTGCTGTTTGTAGTTTGAAATACATAATTGGCTCCAGTGAATTATGTGTGACCTAATTAAAATGAGGATCACCTAGGCGTGTTTTCTAGCAAAGAAATCCCTTTTAACTGTGCTGACAATTGGATTCCTTAAGTAGCTTTAATGCTGTAAGGCATTATTCCACATTATAAAATGGTAATTCATGTCACTTATAATTAATAATCAACTTGAAATTGCCTTGAGGACTTTATTTCTTTATCACAAGGAAAACAAATAGGCCTGCTCATTTTCATGTGTTTTGAACAGGAAAAATGATACCATTGTACTTGAACTTAAACCCAAACACATTTTTTAATCCAGGGCCTAAAATGTCTCACCATTATCCATGTCTGAGTTATCTGTTTGTTAGGTGCCGTGAGCTGGTTACAGTCCATAGACCTTATGAATGATAGGTCAGAACCATGTCCAGTCCCACACCAGCCTCAGGATTTCTGCCACGCTCCGCCTCAGTACTGCAGTCACTGGGTAGTCCGTCTCGTTGAAAGTTTTCCTCTTAACTCTGCACAGGCTCCTTTTAGAAATTCCTACAGAGAAATTCTGTGTCTTTATCAGATGTCTCTCTGTTCTTTCTGACCACAGATAGCACCTTTCTTCCAAATTCATGCCCATGTATTTCTTTTAGAGAGGAGAAAAGAAGATTTATGGCTTTGGCCTTATATTATAACGTGTCCTCTGGAAGCCTTTAATCTGACAGGAAGGAAGCTGGTGGGGCAGAAAGGCCTAAAAGTAGGCTGAACCTTGAGCATTTGGGGGCTTATGTTAGCAGCCAAAATTCTGTCCACTGGCTGTTTTCAGATTTAGCTGATGAAAAATGCATGACCTGTTTAGACCAATCCCCACATTGCAGTAATGTAGATCTGGGTGTTCTGTGATTAGCAGTAGCCCACCTCCTCCCAGCCCCTTCCCTTCAGTCAGTGGGGTTCAGATGAGGCCTGTTGTGAGCTGTCTGATGGATTGCCGGAGTCAACCTTCACTTCCCCAGCCTGACGTGTGCTGTTAGCACAGCAGCGCCAGCATAACGTTTGATCTCCAATGCACTTGTGAAGTCTCAACTGTTTAATCAGTTTAAATACTCAGCCTTCCACTTCAGTCAAGAAGCATTTTAAAGCAGCGCTTCCGCTGAACTCTTCATTAGTGTAATTTCGTTAAGAAAAACAAGTTCCCTCAGTTTTTGCTGAAAAGATGTCCCAGTGTACCCTTTGCATTTTGTATCTTGTATCGGGTGTATCTGAATATATTATGGAACTGGAATGTGATTGCCTATTCAGAGAGGAAGAAAAACTGTCCTGATTTCGAAAGCATTTTCTGTTACTGAGAAGAATATTTTATTAGATTACTATATCTATCACCAGTGAGATAGAGACAAACACTGACAGGAATTTCAGGAGGAGGGCAGACGTTGGCCAAGAAGAATAAAGAAATACTTCCTACTCTCGCTAAAAGGAAACACCATTTGAGTCTGAGGGTAAAAGTAGAGGAAGAGGCAGTATTTTTATTGTCTTTACATGTCGAGGATTTCATTTTGATTGTTCAAAGCTGTTTTCACAAACTCCATTTTTTTGAGTTGCCGCCGCCTGATTCCATTGTGCGCTATGTTAGGAGTTGTGTAAGTTCTCTGACATGAGGACAGTGGGAATAATTGGTAGTGACTTTGGCATGCTGGGTTTCACACATCTGATTCCTCCATTGTCACCTGCTCTGTCAGCGATGCAGAGTGGCCGTCCACATTCTTCTTTGCAGTTACTTCCACTTCCGTATAGTGTGCAGTTCAGTTATATTGGTAAATTTTTATTTATTTATTTTTAATCTCTAGCAGAATGACAGAGGGAAAGAGGAGTGCAAGGTTGGAACCCACCAGTGCTCTGATTATATTAGTCTTCTGCAGGCAGGGGTGGCATATTTGCTGAGAGGAGGTGGGTAAAGCCTCAACAGGACGAGAAATGAATACATGAAACCAGCCTAATAGTTGAGCACCTTTTAGGTTCAGATTGCTTGGCTTTGGATTCTAGATCTCCTACTTTTTACCTCTGTCACTCTATTATTCTAAATCTTAGTTTCTAGTCTGTTAAATGGCTTTATTAAGTGAGATCTACTAGACAAAGTTCTTAACACAGTTGCAGCCACTCAGTACATGTTGACTGTTGTTTGAAATGAGCCTTTTGGAGGTTAGGGTTTAGATTTCTAGTTCTCTGCTCCGAACACATGGATTTCCAAAGAGCATCTGTTTGATTGATGCATCTGATTCTCTCTCTCTCACTGGTTTCTCTTCCCAGAGTTAGCTTAAGTGATGGCAGCGACAGTGAGAGCAGCTCTGCCTCTTCACCTCTCCATCACGAACCTCCGCCGCCCTTATTAAAAACCAACAGCAACCAGGTAAGAACCCTGGAAAAATGAGATATCCCACACGAGTGCGTGAAATTCTACATATTCATTGTAAACAAAGTCCCTGTTGTTGCCAAAGAGTCAGGAAGCCGTAATGTTGGCATAAACACAGAGCTAAGGTAGAAGAGCTTCTGTTATCATGAGACCATGAGTATGTCCTGTTGGATGCATTAATTAAGTAAATGCAGGAAAGAATGATGACAAAGTGTTGCTCAGTGATTCTCTGTGTTTTTCCTCTGCAGTGGTAAGTAGTTGACAAAATAAAAGGAATGTGGCTTTAGAACTAGCAAAGCCTGATCCTTTTCTTTACGGCTCATGGTGTACTGATGGGAAATATGTTAACTTCCTCATTTCTTCACCCCTTAGTGGAGCTATTAATCCTTAACGTGCAGGTTCCAGAAGATGAGAAATTATATATATACACACACACATATATATATAAAGGTCATAAGACAGTGCTGGTACCAAGTTGGTGCTCAAAAAGTTGATGCTGCATGTTTACTATAATAGATGTTTTGCTTCAGGAAAAGGAGAATTGTAATGAACAGCTTTTAAAGTGTAAAGAAAATTATGGTTCTACTTATGGAGTTACAGGGAACTCTGTGGCCTAGTTGGTAAGAAGTTGTGCTGTCAACCCAAAGGAAAGTGGTTTGAATCCACCAGCTGCTTTGAGGGAGAAAGATGGGCAGTCCGCCTTTGGGATTTACAGCCTCTGGAAGCCTTCTGGAGGGTCAGCCATGAGTCCATTCCCACTTGATGCCACATAACAATAATAACAACAGTGTAGGTCATATATTGAGTAAACAGGAAGCTTTCTAATTTGAAAGTTAATTGAGAATGAAATTATTTGGGTAAAACATAGGAGTCCTTTGGAAGCTGTGATTAAGAGCTTTTGTTAGACCAATTACTAAAATACTTAACAAAATTAATTCTTTTCAAGTCTCATGAATATTGTAGAAACAATACTGTGCATTGCCTTTATAATCTCATTACAATTGAGTTCTTTTCTTTTTGTTTAGGCTCATTCCCTGTGACCACTACAATAGCTGCTTAACTCAAGTTACTGTACATTAACTTGAAAATTAGAGAGCTATGTTTTTCTAAAAAAAAAAAATCTGTTTCACAAACATCCTTCAGGTTTAAATGATCTTGGTATTGTATTTGATATCATTCTTTGACTTGGGAAAATGTTATTTTATAACTGAAGACTTTCCTTTTGTATTTAGGGTAAAGCAGAAGCAAAGATCTCGCAAACTTAAAATTCCTCATTTATCCAGTTTAACTTTGGCTTTTTACCCTTCATTGTTTACCAAGGGTGCTCTGCATGGTCTTTGCCACTTACTGCTCAGCTGCAGTTTCTCTGTGTTCTGTCTATAAATAATAACCAAGGTGGACCCATCATCTATTGCAGGTTGGGTGTTCACTCAGTTGATTCCTGATTTTTTGCCCCAGGTGCCTATGAGAGTGCGAATCTCTCACCATGTTCAGTGCCAGCCATGCCTTTTGCCCAGCCATCTTTCCCCTCGGGCATAGTTGCCCACCACAAGTCATGCATTTCAGCAAACAATACAAAGAAGAAGATTGTAAGAATCATGGCCAGTGAGATGAGAAGTCCAGTGAACTGGCTAGTAAGATAACTGAGTTTTGTTTCTGAATTTGTGGTTAAGCATATGAGCTGAAAAGATAGAATATGGGCCTTTTGAATGTCTTTTTATTCAATTTGAATTTGCTTAGGCTCAATTTCTGCTGTCAGTGGTTGGTGTATTCGAACTAAGTAACTCCTGTGTCTAGCACTGACAGGGACAGGAGTAAGGGTAACAGGATATGCTTAGCCCGTTTCCAACAAGATCATTCCAACTCAGTGCAGCCCCATGTGTGTTAGGGTAGAACTTGGCTTGCTGTATGATTTTTAGTGACAGATTTTTCAGAAGTAAGTTTCTAGGGCTTTCTTCCATGTTACTTCTTGTTGAACTTGAACCTCCACCCTTTCAGTTAGCCAGCAAGTGCATTAACTGTTTTCAAACCAATGGGCTAGTGTATGCTTTAGTGCCCCTCATTCAGCTCTTTCAGTGTTAACACTGCACTTGATGAGTAAATGTCTCTCCGACAAGCCTTTATCCTGTTGTTCAAACCTAGTAGCCACCCCTGAACACTTTCTAGATGGGCAATATCAAACTGACCCTGCTTTGGAGAAAGATTTGTTTGTTAGATATTTTTTAACCTCTTTAACTGGAGAAAAGAAAAAAAAACCAAACAACCAAACCAAAAACAAACAAACAAAAAAACCCCAAACAAACCTAGTATCCACATGGAGAAGGTAAAAATTACTTGATCTGATTAAATTGCATCCCTATAGTTCCGTGGCATATGTTTATTTGTCAAATGTAGCTTCACACATGTGAATCATCAATCTGTCAGTAATACTCAGTTATATGCCACTTTCTCCATGCACCTATAGCATAAGAGAACCCATATGCTCTCACAGTAAATTAGTGGAGGGTTGGAGATGGATCTTGCATAGCAGTATCCATAAATCCGTGGAGCGGGGGCAGCAAGAAAAGGTTTAAAACTTGGTTTAGGACTCATTTCTTAACCTGCCCGAATTAATATATGTTGAGTCAGATGTGCTGCTATCCCTATAAATTGACATTTTGCAACTTAAAAAAGTATGGTTGCTATTACTATTATTTCTTCATGCTCTATTATCACATGGAAGAAGATAATAAAAGGGTCTAATAACATATTAAATGTTACCTTAGATTGTATCTTTAGTCTTATGTTTGAATGTCTGAGTGATAATCTAAGATTTTGCTTCAAATATAATAATTGAAAACATAATACTGGGAAGGCTTCACTCCAAAATGAGAAGATTCCATTTCCTTCTTCCATGTACCCCATGGCTATTTTGTCTGCACAGCAAGAATGCTCTGAAAGTTTCTGGAAAGTACCAGACAACACTGAGTTGTTTGTTGTCTTTTCTCAAACCTTTCAAAGACTAAGAAAGAAGGAAAGTGCTAATTGAATCAAACATTTCCTAACTACTGAAGAAAAAGTGAACAGAGAGTGAACAAAGCAAGTAATTAACCTGAGAATTGTTCAGATCTACTCATGATCATTGACATGAAAGGTCTATCAGTAGAGATTCCATCTGTTGAGTAATTGAGTTGTCACTTCTCACAAAGGGATGCAGAAAAATATCATCTTGAAACTTTGATTCTCAGATTCTCAGCACAGATGTGCCACTAATAATTTCTTCTGTTTTTAGAGACTGGCATATTATAAAAGACGTGCTTGGTGGCATTGGGGTTAAATGTTTCGTGGAAAGGTGGGTGGCTTGAATCCACCAGCTACTCTTTGAATGTAACAGTCTGCCTTGGTACCGACCAACAGCCTTGAAAACCCTAAGGGATATTTCTGTCCAGTACTACTGGCCACAATGGCTTGGAAGAGATTTGGCATATTCTAAACGGTGCATTTATGCAGTTGGAATTTCTGTCTCCCATAATACAGTTTAATAAGGATTACTAATTTTGACCCATTAAACCAAGTTGGTCCTTCCACTCCAGAACTCCCATAGGGGAATTTCAAAGCAAAAGAAAAGTGCCAGATCCTTTAGAGCCAAAAGTGTGGGGGTTGGGGGAAATCCTTGAAGGAAGAAAGTGATCCACTAGTCCTGTGTTAATATTCAGCATATCATAAATCACCTCTCAGCCTCTAAGGGGTGTTGAATGAAATGAAAGTATCCAGTTAGACTGGTTTGAAATAAGCCTGTGGAAGACAAGGTGCTGTACTTTTCTATTCTGGTGTCGTTTGCTTAAAGATAAGAACTGATCATAAATAAAACAATTGTCTTCAGCATGGCTTAGCTCTCTCAGAATGAGATTTTGACAAAGCTGTTTATTTTGGAGCTAGAAGAGATCAAAGAAGGAAGATTAACTGAGCCCTCTCTGGGCAGCCACTCTGTAACTCGAGGCGGATCACTGACACCGGGCGCTTTTGTTCCTGCCACTGCAGCTCAGAAGAAAGAAACTAGGATTTCAATGTATTTTGGCCTTCTGTGCTGTAGTGTTTACAGAATGCATGGGGTCATCGCCAGGGTGGGACGTAAGCCTCCCCCAGACTCCAAACTCTGTTCTCAGCACTAAAGGGAAGGTGGTAGAAAGCTAGTTAGCAGGGTTCCACTAATATAGACTCCTTGGTCACTTTGACAGTACAGTGGCGTGAGATCGGGGAATGGGACCCAGGGGTAGGTGGGATATGGTGGGAACAAAATCAAAGGCTGTAGGAGGGAGGCGGCACTGGGCTTTCTTTCACTGGCCTGCAATCTCAGAGGTTGGTTCTGTACTGCCCAGCCAGGAGTCTGAGTTGGGGAGGAGTGCCACCTACTGACCTACTTATTCCTGCCCAGGCCTGTGAGCACTGCCCAGCTTGTCCCTGGTGTCTGATTGCCAGCAAAAGACTGGAAGAAGCTCTGAGTTCAGGCAAATGCTTGGTTCCCTTTGCAGTGGAGCACATTAAAATCTACAGTAAAATTGATGCAGAGTAATTTCCTTGATTTTCCCCAAAGTATTCTAAATGAACTTGATCAGATTGGTCATGTGCTTATCAAAAAGTTAAAAAACAAGGCATAAAAGCACTTTTAGATTAATGAGTTTTGCCTGTTTATCAGTGTAAATTCAGCAGAATGTAGACTTGTTAGTAAGCATCTTGGAAAAAGTGCAGCCAGAGTGCTCCTTGGAGTTTAGGATGGTGAAACTTGGTTTCACATATTCAGGGTATGTACCTGTCATACTTGGAAAGGTAGAGGGTCAGTGAAAGAGAGGAAGACCCTCAATGAGATGGATTGATACCATTGCTGCTGCAATGGGCTTAAGTTTTTCTGAGATGATAAGGATGGCACAGGACAAGACAGGGTTCAGATTTGTTGTTCTTAGGATCTCTGAGTTGAACTTTACTTGATGGCACCAAATGACAACAGCAGCATTTTAGGG